GAACGAAGGCACCCATGGGCTTCATGGAAAAAAGGAATTGTTTTCTTTTTTTATAATAGTTTCTACAAGTCCTTCTCAGGACTTTATTAACCTGGACGATCATCATTTACAAACATATAGTTTCTACAAAGATAACATTTAATAAGCCATGCAACTTGTATCGTCTAATTGAACCTCGGTTTCAACCCTTAGGTTATAAAATTTTGATACATTTTTGACAGTAAATTTCTTTCTACTTAACAATATTTTAATGATTCAATATAGAAAGTAACTTTACTTCTCTAATAATTTTACGATTAAACTGTACACTTTTCGGATTAAAAGGACTTCTTTTGATCGCATAGAGACAGCCGTCCAATTTATTACGTACATGCATGTTCTATGCATTTCGTTGTAAGGAACCACCCTACCAAAGAATATCCAGATCTGATATTCTTTAGCTGCATCGAGCGAAGAAAATTGCCAGTGATGGAATTTTTCAAAGGTTATTTTTATGATATTTATAATTCGATGTATCATGTAGATTCCAGATGAGATTTATGACTGCTTTTGAATACAATTAACACATATTCTTAATAAGACAATGTTTTATAAAGTAAATGGTTTGAACCCGGGAGTATATTGTTATATGTTAGGTCGTCCAGGTGATTAAGTCCTGAGAAGGACTGTTTTTGTCAAAAACAGTCCTTCTCAGGACTTTATTAACCTGGACGATCATCATTTACAAACATATAAAGACAATGTTTTATGTTATCATTTAGCGTCTTTGTAATTTTATACATTTAAATTTATAGCTATAGTTTAAAATTCCATATTTACGTATATAACGCGTAAATGAATCTGAAAAGCCAGTTTTAGGGAGATTTTATGCATCAACAATAATAATGATTAGTGATTATAAAACAGCGAAACCAACATGTAATAAAAATAACAGTTCAAAAATTTGTATGGCTTGGTTTTTTTGCTTTATGCAGCTGGAATCCGTCCTGGATATTCTTAAGTCACGTCGTTAAGGCCCGTAACAATCCTTACATAAAAGTCGTTAGCGTGACAACATGCCAGTTATTCAAGCTTTCATTCGATCGTTATACTTTTTCTAACCCAAAATGATTAATTTTTACTGTTATGTCTTCTGCCTTTATAAATAATCTTTCTAAATAACTAGAATCAGATTAAAAAATGCCCCGAAACTCAAAAGTATCTCCTAACCATTTCATTTGCCACTATTCTACATAAGCAATACTAAGGCCCGGTTCAAACGTCGCATTTAACATGCGCCGAATCAAATCTGAGTTTTAGTCGACTAAAATAGTTTTATGCGTAGTTTGATTCAGACGTCGAATTCTATAGTCGCATTTATTAGTAGATGCTTCCACTTTTCATAGTTTATTCATTTTCTGTACTAATTTCCTAAAATGGCGAACAGAAAAATGTTGAGTTTATGCATTTCAAATCTGATTCGTGTTAATAGGAAAAGATGAATATTGATGCATGTTACAGCAAATAAACTATTAGAAACGAGACGGCAGCTTCTGCAAATTTCCCATGTTTTCTACCGTTAATTGGTCAAAAAAAGCCGTTACGTAGCTCCTCTTATCGATCATGTCGAAGACAAGATAGAAATTCCGGCTGGTGGAAGAAAGTTTGAGTATATTCTATCAAAAACACGTGTATCTCGAGGGAAACTTTCCTTGTACATATAAATTTTTTGCACTTTAAACAAGTGTATTTTGTTAAACTTGTGCACGAAATACAAGGGCACATTACCATCACTGCCGCCGCCATGTTTTTACAACTTTGCGCATAGCATTTAGCATGAAATAATTGATTTTGCTTAGAAATATCTTTTAAAATAAATTATGCATTAAATTCTCGGCTCATGTAAAATGCGACGTTTGAATCAACATCGAATTTCCGTCGAATATTCGACTAACTCACTGAATATGCGACTAAAGTCGATTAAATTAAAAATCCGTCGAATTTAATTGATTCAAACGTCGCATTTACATGCACATACTCTCGCATTTGATTCGGCGCATGTAAAATGCGACGTTTGAACCGGGCCTAATGTCCGACCATTTGATTGTCCGAATTTGTAATTTGATTTCGTATTTTTGACACGTGTTAGAAAAGGTGGATACTTTTACTCTCAGGTAGCATTCCATGTATTTTAGTTTAATTGAACATACTCGCCTTAGGCCTGTTGTTCGCTTTCAACTCTAGCTAAATTTGCGTTATAATCAAACCATAAGGAAAGTGAAACATATTTCCATGGAAATACCTTTTAGATTGCTTGCACCAACCAAGCCGCTATTTTACTCAAATCTCGATAGCTTCGTCTGTCTGGGAAAGAAAACAATGTATTGGGAGACTAGAGATCATTAGAAAAGTGGCGAAAGATCATTTACGAGGGTTTCGCTATCGTTTTCAAATATTGATTTCAAAATTTCGGTTTTCTTTTTATTACCATTTATAGGTTTAAATTGAGGCGGATTCTTCTGTTTCTGGAAAGAAATGTAAAAATGTGAATCGAGATATAATGATTTAAATCTGACGGTAATAACGTGTGACCTTAATAAGATAGATAGGCTAGCCAAACGCACATTTTATACGTGGCCACGAACCAAATGCATTAAAGAGAAAAGAAAATGAGATAAAATTCCTTATTAGCTTTTATTTAAAATGCATTCGGCTCATGTAAAACGCGACGTTTGAACAAGGCCTTACTGTTTAACTAGGTTTCAAATAGGATAACGAAATTTTTACATAGATTGACTTAAGGCATCCTATGTTAAGACAAAATGGAAAACCTGGATTGCTAATTTGTTGGGAAATGATATTTTGAAAATCACCGCCTTTATATAATCTACAACGCCACCGAAAAATCTGCTAAAACTTTCTATAGTCCCCCGCAATAACTATTGACAACCTTCGTTAGAATTCAATAAATCAATCAATGTTTCAGCTTCGAGAGGACTACTGTTTAGCGCCAGGAACTGTCTAAATGAACGTTCCATTTGTTCACGTCCTGTTTCCATTAATGATGTCTGAAATGAAAATTAACTTTTTAATTAAGCAAGATTGACTTGAAAAAATACGTAATGATCTCACAAGGAGGGGTAACTTAGGACTGTTGGGAATGCTGTTTTCAAAAAATACTTAATGATCTCACAAGGAGGGATAACTCAGGACTGTTGGGTATGTTGTTGTCAAAAAATACTTTATGATCTCACAAGGAGGGATAACTCTGGACTGTTGGGTATGTTGTTTTCAAAAATACTTAATGATCTCACAAGGAGGGATAACTCAGGACTGTTGGGTATGTTGTCAAAAAATACTTTATGATCTCACAAGGAGGGATAACTCTGGACTGTTGGGTATGTTGTTTTCAAAAAATACTTAATGATCTCACAAGGAGGGATAACTCAGGACTGTTGGGTATGTTGTTGTCAAAAATACTTAATGATCTCACAAGGAGGGATAACTCAGGACTATTGGGTATGTTGTTTTTAAAAAATACTTAATGATCTCATAAAGAGGGATAACTCAGGACTGTTGGGTATGTTGTTTTCAAAAAATACTTAATGATCTCACAAGGAGGGATAACTCAGGACTGTTGGGTATGTTGTTTTCAAAAATACTTAATGATCTCACAAGGAGGGATAACTAGGACTGTTGGGTATGTTGTTTTCAAAAATAATTAATGATCTCACAAGGAGGGATAACTCAGGACTATTGGGTATGTTGTTTTGAAAATACTTAATGATCTCACAAGGAGGGATAACTCAGGACTATTGGGTATGTTGTTTTCAAAAAATACTTAATGAACTCACAAGGAGGGATAACTCAGGACTGTTGGGATTATTGTCTTCAAAAAATTTAATGGCATCTTGAACTTTTATCAAGCTTTGTATGTAACTATCGACATCATCAGCCAGGTCTGAAAAAATAATGGAAATTTATGAATATAATGAAGGGATAGAGACAGATGATGAGGGATAATGAGGGATGATGAGGGATGAAGACGGAAAATTTAGGAGATAAAACAATTTCTGTTTAACTTCACATTGAAAGAACTTGGACAAGAGTAAAAAAATCAGCTGATAAACATATGAAATCATGGAAGGAGAGGTAGATAAACCATCCTACCATCCTTTCCTTTAGTCAGTGGAGAAACCATCTTACAACCTTTCTTTTAGTCAGGGGATACAAACCATCATCCAAACACTCACCCATCTCTGATGTCCTGGTCTTCTTTGAAGCAACATTATGATAGCTGATAACATTATCCAACCCTCGTAAAACTTTGTCAATATCTGGGAGATTGGTCAAGGGAACTACAACATATGTGTATCTGTTATAGCATTAATGAAACATTGCATGGTTTGCCAAGGTTGGAAAACTTGTATCAAAGTCCTTGTATAGCTAAGGATGTGAATTTATTAGCTTCCAGTGACTTAAAACCAGAAATATGCTGCAACACAGAGCCGATTGTACTATTTCAATTTTGCAAGAAAATATTAGTTCAATATGATGGTGGGATGCTGCAGTTTACCCTGAGATGACATAAGTACAAGCAAAGTAATTAAGAGAGGCAACATATAGTTTAAAATGGTTGTGTGTGGCTGCAAGAGAGATCAAGTTTTCCAACCTCATTGTTTGTCTTCTTCAAAAGACTTAAACAGAATTGCACCTTAAGAAAATAAACTTGAGTATGAATAAAATAGAGTGTAAAAGGATACTTCTTTGTCGACGTTGTAGTTCAACAGTTTCTTTATGCACAGGTAAAATATTTTCTTCTAGCTTGCTTAAACGTTCGTTAAATGATGACAAAATACCACGCTGAAAAAATTATATAACCTTGCTATTTTAACGAATGAAATCTTCAATTTGAAAGTTCATGTTATTATTCCAAAATTTGACTAAACTTGCCCTTACCATATTTTCCGTCAAATCGTCGCTTTTCGTCAAACTGTCTTTCAAAAATGATAAATTTGCTTGCTCCTAAAAATAAAAACCATCTCTATTCAACAGAAGAGGACTGTTATTTTGGTTGTCAAACTTGAACGTCTTGTCTTGACAGCAAGTTTACCTTTGATAGTTTTTCAGCTAAAACTTTTTTCCTTTGAGAAACATGCTCTGGTCGGCTTTCTTGAATCATTTTTAATGGCAGTAAGCAAGTAAACTTTCCGAAACGTCTCAAATTTTGTCTTAAACAGTGATTAAACAAGGAAATGAACTAAAAATTTCATGAATGAAACTCCATTTTTGAGTCGAGGTCAAGTCAACCCTGAACCTTTCGAAATAATCAAATAATTATTCGGGTGTTGCGGGCTAGGATGAAGGAACCAATGGGGTGAAGGCATTGAGTTGTATCGATACTCAATGGGTGAAGAGCAAACCCAATGGGCTACCCGGTAGACCGAATTTAAATTTGTGTTGATTTTGTAAATGGTCATGTCTGTAACTAGCAAAAAAACATCAGTGAGCTGAGCAAAGTTTTGCTGATGTTAATAAATATGAATTGTAAATCTAAATACTCTGCCTGATTATTAAAAGCAATGTAATAATGTTCCGTCGCTTTTTCTTTCTAAAGGCCCGTTCACACGATCGGATTTGTTGGATTTGATTTTGTCGGATCAAAAAAAAAAACGCATCGTGTGAACCATTTTCTTTCATCAAGATCAGAAGAAGCCGACTAGTCCCGGACCTCTCACTCTCAAAACTTTCAAAATTTCATTTGGCGCAAAACATTAGATGTGAAAACTGAAAAAGACTTAGAAACAAGAACAAAAATATGCATAATACACATCGATAAATGCACTGGATAACATAAATGTCTGCTCCACGACCATAAATATCCAAACAATGTTCCACTTTATCAAACGAGTATTAAAATTTATGCCCAACAAAACGGTGAAATAAAAGTCATATGCCTAAAATTTCCGAGCATGTGATTGGATATACGATATTTTTCAATAGTGATTAAAATTAAAGAAAACAAAATTAAAGCATTACGATAAAAATTAAGAAAGCAAAAACATCCTTGCTTGATTTCATTTATTAATTGCTTGGCAACTTGCCGAGACACTATCCGTAAGCGAATTCAATATCAATGTCATGAAAATGATAAAAAACAGCAGGACATTGGATTTCTTCAGTAATTTCATCGTCAAAACATGACTTTCAACACATAAAGAATAGAGAGCTTTAGCAAAGACTACGAGTACGACTACGAGCAATGACTACGAGGATTTACGTCATTTTGGCGCGTAAACATTGTTGCGACAACAAAACACGTAGCCGTCATCAATCTGAGTACGATGTTTTGTAAAAATTCGTAGTCGCGACTACGATGTCTTTTAAGCAAAGACAGTAGATATTTTTCATTCTGTAAGAAATTAGTTTACAGTACTATTTTCGAGAATCCAGGCTTTACCTTAGAACCTTTTTAAACGCATATGTACATTAAAAGGAAAAATGACGTAAATCGTACTCGTAGTCTTTCTAATATTCCCATCAAGCAATTTAGCAAGTTTATTATTGCTTCCACACGACAGAAAAAGAAATAAAACACATGAATTGTGTCCATCACTTCACCGACTAAGTTCACTATAATCTAAAATGCAATGTCGTATAATAAAAAAGATTACTTTGGTTGTTCGTTTGTACGACTTTCATTATCCACTCGTTGACAAGGACTAAAACAAGACGAGCGAGCTACGCTTACTGACAGTCTATTTGTTCATTCATGATACTTATTCAGTTCATTTTTCGCTCTTCAGTTTTCTTCGTTAGCTATTCATCTTGTACCCAACCTTATACTGTTCGTGTACCCAAAACGTCGTTTCAGTAGAGGATCCTTAAAAATATCTATCACATCATTGAAACTTTCACTCGCATAAAATTTTTTCTTCAAACCTACGATCCGGTCAATGCGTTCCTGGGTGGTCAGGACCCACTTTGTAGGTACAGGTAGCTTAAGACTCTCTGCTTTCTTTCTTTTACTGGATAACCAAACTTTTTCTTATTCGATCGCCCGTCTGGTGAAGGGATGTCGTCAACGCTAGCGACTTTAAATGCAAATAACGTTGAGGACATGCTTTTTTCCTTTTTTAATTCCGACTCAATTTCCTCATTAATTGCTCCATTCGATTCCTAGTATTCTGTTTCGTACTCTGTTGAGTAAATCCAACATTAACTAACTTCAGGTCAACGTCCTTTGGAAATGATAATTGTTCTACTACTATGGCATACACAACGGGAGTGATTTTTCTCGGCGAATGAGATCCGACAAACCACTTTATGAGCATAATAATTTAGATGTTGGACTAACTCATTTCCGTTAGTCCCATCCCAAAACCATTTTGCAAAATCATTCGTCAGTAATTCAGAATATTTAGATTCACTCGGCCATCGCTTTAATTTAAACCTAATTGTTAGTAGTGACTTAAGAATAACGTTTTCGCAATGATATAACTTCCACAGTCCCACTCTCATTTACATTTTATATTGTAAGTTTGCCAATTATGATTGGTTAAGAAAAACATGCCACCACACGTCACAGAATAGATAAGTAACAGAAGCGCCACTCAGCGAAAAAATTTCTCCCCTTGCACCCAGTTCTTAAATGCGCATCGTATCATTGAGTTCTATAATAACTGGAGGGGAAACGTCAACAAATTCATAAATTATTAGCGCGCGGCCGCGTGGTCCAAACATGAGCGGATTTTGGTGGTCAAAGTCAGCGGAGAGACGCGGGCTCATGAAATAAAATTTTTGTCGCCCACCCTGATTTGACCACCATGATTGCGAGTATAGAAAATCAAAACTACTTATTTTCCTAACATAAACACTTTTTAAACTTATATTTATTAAAAATCTGCAAATTTCTGTAGTTTTGTGGATGCTGAAATAGCGACAGAAAAAGGAACATTTCTTTGACTCCGGTAAGTAGCACAGTATTAGTTTTATATTTTTTTTTTTAACACGATACTTGAAGAATGTTTCTACTACTAAGTTTTAATTTTAAAGTTATTTTGGTCCAGTCTTGTTTGTTCTTCTTCTTAATCGCTCGCCAGATGGCGAAGCTGTCATTTTATCGTGGTCAAAAACATTACCGCCATGTTTTTGACCACGGGGTCCAGGCCCCTTTGCCCCTCCAGGTCTTATAGAGCTCAATGGCCATTACTCCAGCCCAATGAACTCCATAACAACTGGAAGGCTAACTTACGCCATCTTTAGTTGCATGAGCGCCGCCATTGAGGGTACGGAGGCGAGATACATCACTTCGAAATTGCCGGGTTTTGCAAAAAATAGTTGTCTTCGAGCCAGCTTCATGTCTAAAAACCTTAAACAATGTTTGGACTTTAATATAAAACAAGTTTGAACGACATTTGTACATGTTAAGCTTCTTTTTAGAAGGATGAAAAGCGAACTTTGTTTTGGCGCGTGAAAACATGCCTTATAACTTGAATACAAAACTGACACCCCTCATTTTTTTTCATGAAAAGGATGTAAAACACACTTGTCTATCCTTAAAATATAGTTTGAATCTTTGAAAATGAAGCTGTCAGGGCAAAAACGCTGTTTTTCGGTAATTTTGTGTTTCCGAGCAAATTAGTCGTCCCAGTCCTTTTGAAAGTTCAGAGCACAAACAAAGAACACTTTTGCAAAATATTTCAAAAGTTAGCAAAAAATATTTTTGAGTTTAAAAACTGTTATGCCATATTATTGTGTTATCATTAATTGCACCATTAAAGAGTCAAAGGGTCAATACTCAATTTAAAAAAAGACAAAACACAATTGACACTCTATATTCATAACTTTTGAAACACTTAAGTAAAATTGTAATGGTAATACAAGTAAGAAAACGATTATTAGTCTAATATTATAGAATCATATATTTTCACAAATATGACCAAACATTTTAAATACACATCCTAAAATTTAATATATTACATACATTTATCATCATCTGTATTACAAGAAAACTAATTTTACAATCAATATGATATACTATAAAATTTTGATACATGATATAGCTTTGCTTGCTTTATAATAATTTTAAAACCCTGTTTCAAACCACTGAGGATGAGGGTTGCTTCTTGGCATTTATTTAGAGCAGGCTATATTAGCAATACTTCATAGTGTACACTTGGCTATTTATTTATAAGCATGAACTTGCTGATAAAATGCTCAATACACAATATGAACGTCAAATCTTCCACCAGTTCTTAAGAAGTGGAGGAAGTAAATGACAAGAACCAACAATCACCCACAATTCAAAATTTCAAATCATCACTTTCACACAAAAAGAGCATGTGAAATTCTTAAAAGCAAGTCTAACTCTAAAAGCAATAAAATTGTTATGAAACATTTTATATTAAGTGGATTGTGTGTATTTTGCACAGCATTCAAAGATACAGACTACCTGTTATCAGTTTTATCTTAAATTTTTGGTCTTCGGCGACAAATGAGAAATTCATATTTCAAAGCAAGTTCTCCTTTATGTTTTATATATAATACAGCGCATACAAAACATGTCTTGGAACGTCCACAATGCATCTTAACACATTAATAACCAAATTTTGCTAACGGTTTTGAAAAAAATAAAGCATTTAGGCTAGCATTATATTTCCAAGTTAGCAGTTTTTGCAAAACAATCCGTCACGCAAATAAAACAGTCCACGCGAGATGCACGCGAAGCGGCAAATCAGCTTCTATGTGGCTTCAAAAAAGTCTAGGTTTGTTTATAATGAGTTAGCCTTCCAGTTGTAGAGTTCATTGCTCCAGCCAGATAAACTTGATAAACCAGTGAACTCCATATAAATATATATCTGGAGGATAACGACAATACATTTTATAGATATAAAATTGAAGCCAAAGTCTAGTCTTGCGCGGTTTGTACGTCAGTTCCAGTCCTTCAAAGTCGAATATTCACGCGGTTTGTACGTCAGTTTCATTCCCTGAGTGCCAAACACATACACGGCCAATATAAATTTGAATACAAATTGCAAAATAAACATATAAACAACATCACGACAAACAACACACGAGGCCAACTCGCAAAAGGTTATTTTTACAGCTGAAACTTTACTATGAGTTCGTTGTAACTTACAACTTGTAACGAGGAAAAGCCAACTGATAATTACATTGTATGCTAAAAAGACGATATAATAAAAATATGATGAGAAAATATTCAAGCAAAATTTTTCTTTCATCGGTAGGTAAATTTTCAAACGGTGTCAGACAGTGTTCGTCTTTTTGTCATTTCAGTGGATTTAAAGATCTGT